TTGTGTTCTGGCCTTGGGCTTACACACTGAAGGAAGGACCAATACAAACACAGACAGTGGTCACCTGATTTTAGTGGGCACCTGATTGAAAACGCACCAGATGTGCCCCTCAAATTAGACCCCACACCAACACAAGCACACACAGACACACAGGCATGCACACACCCACACACACACACCACAGGAGGCTGCTGAGGGGAGGACGGCTCATAATAATGTCTGGAATGGAGTGAATGGAATGGAATTAAACACATGGAAACCATGTGTTTGATGTGTTCGATACCATTCCATTGCAATTTATATCCAAAAAAAATTTAGCCAGAAAGGTAAGTTCCAGACCTTTCTAAAACTATGCAACATTACCAGTAATGAATTGTTTATGGCCATCTCAGTGAGAGGAGGTTTCTGTTGTGTGTGTATGTGGAGTGCCTCACAGTAATGATGGCTGCACTTTTATTGAACAGAGTATTTAATAACAAGCTGAATGTGGAACAGTGGCACATGCATGCCCCCCTACATACCTAAGCTACAGTAAGCTTCCCAGATCCAAGGTTTGATGTTTCTTATTATTTGACAAAACAGTTTACAATTTACTATGAGCCCGTCCTCCCCAATTAAGGTGCCACCAGCCGTCTGTGATACACATACACACCCACACACCCACACACCCACACACACACACACACACACACACACACACACACACACACACACACACACACACACACACACACACACTCTCACACATAATTGAGGGATGTCATGGATTACTTGGAGACCAAACATCAGGGCTGGTGTGAGAGTGTTGCTACTTAACTACAGTGAAGAGCAGTGAGCAGCTTGTTGAGTGGTGAAGCTGCTCTAATCATTGGGGTCATAACGCCCTCTAATACAGCTAATGATATGGAGAGCAAGCCGAGCAACAGATGTCCTGCCTGGCCTATACACACACACACACATATGCATGCGCGCGCACGCACGCACGCACACACTCCTCGACTAACCTGTACCCCTGCACATTGACTCGGTACCGGTACCCCCTGTATATAGCCTCGTTATTATTATTTTATTGTGTTACTTTTTATTATTTTTTACTTTAGTTTATTTGGTGAATATTTTCTTAACTCTTTCTTGAACTGCATTGTTGGTTAAGGGCTTGTAAGTAAGCATTTCACAGTAAGGTCTACACCTGTTGTATTCGGCGCATGTGACAAATACATTTTGATTTGATTTGACACACGCACACACATGAACACACATAAACACACACCCAACATAAATATTAGCCAAAACAAAGACAAGCCACAAGGCCACACCATGTACGTAAGCTTCGGTTAGAGATATCATGCATAGACAGAAGCATAAAGCCAGGACAGAAAAAGGATGTTTCATTTTTCCTATCTTATTTTTCTCTCTAACTCTGTGTTCCCTCTCTGTGAGCTACAGTGAGCTCCAAAAGTATTGGGACAGTGACACATTTGTTGTTGTTTTGGCTCTGTACTCCAGCACTTTGGATTTGAAATGATAAAATGACTACGAGTTTAAGGTGCAGACTGTCAGCTTTAATTTGAGGGTGATTTCATCCATATCGGGTGAACCGTTTAGAAATTACAGCACTTTTTACACATAGGGGAGCAAAAGTATTGGGACGAATTCACTTCTGTGTATTAAAGTAATAAAACGTTTTTGGTCCCATATTCATAGTACGCAATGATTACATCAAGCATGTGACTGTACACATTTGTGATGCATTTCAGATTATTTTTGCCCATAGAAAAGAACGGTAAAAGTATGTGTATTTTGTAAATAAGAAGAATATGTTTCTAAACCTTACATAATGGGATGCTCCATGATTACGGCACGAGAAGGATAAGATGAGGAGAAAGTACGACGCACAAATATTACCCCAAGACATACAAACCTCGCACCATTACAATAACCGGGGAGGTTAGCATTTTGGGGGGGGTAGGATATTTCGGTGCTTCTTGTAACTTGCCACTCATCATTCATTCACGATTGATTCGTATTATCCGTATCATTGTAGCTCCCATGATGTAGAAGTATTTAAAACATCTTCTATTCTTATTTACAATAAAGATAATTATTTACCATTCATTTCTATTGGGCACAAAATAATCTGAAACACAAGCAAAACAAACAGCAAATCCATCCATCAAATTTGTAGAGTCACAAGCTTGATGTAGTCATTGCGCGCTATGAATATGGGACCAAATACTTAACATTTTACTACTTTAATACACATACAGTGGGGATAACAAGTATTTGATACACTGCCGATTTTGCAGGTTTTCCTACTTACAAAGCATGTAGAGGTCTGTAATTTTTATCATAGTTACACTTCAACTGTGAGAGACGGAATCTAAAACAAAAATCCAGAAAATCACATTGTATGATTTTTAAGTTATTAATTTACATTTTATTGCATGACATAAGTATTTGATACATCAGAAAAGCAGAACTTAATATTTGGTACAGAAACCTTTGTTTGCAGTTACAGAGATCATACGTTTCCTGTAGGTCTTGACCAGGTTTGCACACACTGCAGCAGGGATTTTGGCCCACTCCTCCATACAGACCGTCTCCAGATCCTTCAGGTTTCGGGGCTGTCGCTGGGCAATACGGACATTCAGCTCCCTCCAAAGATGTTCTATTGGGTTCAGGTCTGGAGACTGGCTAGGCCACTCCAGGACCTTGAGATGCTTCTTATGGAGCCACTCCTTAGTTGCCCTGGCTGTGTGTTTCGGGTCGTTGTCATGCTGGAAGACCCTGCCACGACCCATCTTCAATGCTCTTACTGAGGGAAGGAGGTTGTTGGCCAAGATCTCGCGATACATGGCCCCATCCATCCTCCCCTCAATACGGTGCAGTCGTCCTGTCCCCTTTGCAGAAAAGCATCCCCAAAGAATGATGTTTCCTCCTCCATGCTTCACGGTTGTGATGGTGTTCTTGGGGTTGTACTTATCCTTCTTCTTCCTCCAAACACGGTGAGTGGAGTTTAGACCAAAAAGCTCTATTATTTATCAGACCACATGACCTTCTCCCATTCCTCCTCTGGATCATCCAGATGGTCATTGGCAAACTTCAGACAGGCCTGGACATGTGCTGGCTTGAGCAGGGGGACCTTGCGTGCGCTGCAGGATTTTAATCCATGACGGCGTAGTGTGTTACTAATGGTTTTCTTTGAGACTGTGGTCCCAGCTCTCTTCAGGTCATTGACCAGGTCCTGTCGTGTAGTTCTGGGCTGATCCCTCACCTTCCTCATGATCATTGATGCCCCACGAGGTGAGATCTTGCATGGAGCCCCAGACCGAGGGTGATTGACCGTCATCTTGAACTTCTTCCATTTTCTAATAATTGCGCCAACAGTTGTTGCCTTCTCACCAAGCTGCTTGCCTATTGTCCTGTAGCCCATCCCAGCCTTGTGCAGGTCTACAATTTTATCCCTGATGTCCTTACACAGCTCTCTGGTCTTGGCCATTGTGTAGAGGTTGGAGTCTGTTTGATTGCGTGTGTGGACAGGTGTCTTTTATACAGGTAACGAGTTCAAACAGGTGCAGTTAATACAGGTAATGAGTGGAGAACAGGAGGGCTTCTTAAAGAAAAACGAACAAGTCTGTGAGAGCCGGAATTCTTACTGGTTGGTAGGTGATCAAATACTTATGTCATGCAATAAAATGCAAATGAATTACTTAAAAATCATAAAATGTGATTTTCTGGATTTTTGTTTTAGATTCCGTCTCTCACAGTTCAAGTGTATTATGATAAAAATACAGACCTCTACATGCTTTGTAAGTAGGAAAACCTGCAAAATCGGCAGTGTATCAAATACTTGTTCTCCCCACTGTAAGTGAATTTCTGGTCTCCTAAAATGGGGGGACTATATGCAAAAAGTGCTGTAATTTCTAAACGGTTCACCCGATATGGATAAAATACCCTCAAATTAAAGCTGAAAGTCTGCACTTTAACCTCGTATTCATTGTATAATTTCCTCCAAAGTGCTGGAGTACAGAGCCAAAACAACAAAAAATGTGTCACTGTCCCAATACTTTCGGAGCTCACTGTATTCCCCGCAGAAATCAGTGAGAGTGGAAGCCACCCTGTTAAAGTGGAAATGGTTTCCCATGAGAAACTATGATACAAGCCTGCCCTCAACTGTTCATTTGAGAGACTACACCCAATGCTGGCTCAAAGATAATGTGCAATATTAACACAAAAGGTCTCTAAAGAGAGATAATTATGCTATATGTTGACATCAAATTAATCATGTTATAGCTTTAATACAATTCAAAATGACATTGTCTGAGAACCAAAAGCGGAGGTGACAGAGGTAAGTAATAATCAGTTATTATATATGTATTTATACAGTCATTACACCTCTGAACTCTGTGCTTCCTCTTTATGTTGCGGGAGAACACTTACAGGGCATGAAAGCTAGTCTAAGTTGTCTAAGATATAGAACTTTAGGGGGTAATGTAACAAAGGTACTCTAGTTTAAGAGTATATCTCAATAGTCTAAAGTGGCTTGCTCTTCGAACCACCACACGTCTCCGAGTTTTCAGATCATTGCAGATTAAGGAGAGATGCTACAGGAAGGTCCTTTGGACAATTGAGATGCACCGCTGAAGACGCGTCATGATGTTTTATGATGCACTTATACACTGTCATTCATATGTCAAAAGGGCAGGTTGAAAGTGTTACCAACAAAAAATGATCATCACTGGAAACTCATCTCAAAGTATTTAGTTAGAGATATTTGAAACTGACATAATCTACAGAACATAAGGTAACAATATACAACAAATAAGTTTGTATATATAACACACTGAATAATGATTTGAGTAAAGATTAAAACATTCTATGAGTTTGGCAGTCATCTTTGGCTCTTTTTGGCTTTTGTATAGGAGACGCCGGATATATTTCACTAGCTAAGTTAAAATACATTCATAAAAGTTGGACCTTAGTTTTGAGACGTAACCATGTCAATGGCCGTGTTTTGGCACCAGCGTAGCCCGAAGTCGGTCCCAAAATGCTGGATATTGTTCTAGCTCTTCTGGCCAGTCCAGGTAGGTCCTGGTCTTCATCAGTCTGGCCAGCCTGTGGTGGGCGGACAGCTGGCGAGGAGGGATGTCCTCCAAGAAGACCAGGATGAGGATGTCCCTGTCCTCCACCAGCAGCTGGTCAGTGGCCAGCTTCATCTCCAAAGAGCAGCAGTTGCTGCGGAGGTAGTGGCGGCTGACCAAGCAGGTGGTCCGGCAGCTGCTGTAGAGACTGTCTGTGATATTGGTCCACGATATCCTTCCCCAGCTGGAAGTCTCTGCTGTGCAGACACAAACGCTGGAAAGGCGTACCTCGTTGTTCCAGGTTGGGCAGAAGCTCCTCCACCACACAGTGTTCGTCTTTCTCGCTGTAGGACACAAAGGCGTAGTACCGGTACCGTCCCTTGTTGTTCCGAAACACGACCTCCTCCAACCAGCCGCGAGTGATGTAGAATAGAGCCAGCAGATTGGCCAGCATGAAGCGCAGGAGGCCCAGAGAGGTGGCGACAAACAAAATGAATCCTGCGTCCGCAGGAGGCCCAGAGAGGTGGCGACAAACAAAATGAATCCTGCGTCCGCAGGAGGCCCAGAGAGGTGGCGACAAACAAAATGAATCCTGTGTCCGCAGGAGGCCCAGAGAGGTGGCGACAAAGAAAATGAATCCTGTGTCCGCAGGAGGCCCAGAGAGGTGGTGACAAACAAAATTAATCCTTGGTCCGCAGGAGGCCCAGAGAGGTGGCGACAAACAAAATGAATCCTGTGTCCGCAGGAGGCCCAGAGAGGTGGCGACAAACAAAATGAATCCTGCGTCCGCAGGAGGCCCAGAGAGGTGGCGACAAACAAAATGAATCCTGCGTCCGCAGGAGGTCCAGAGAGGTGGTGACAAACAAAATGAATCCTGTGTCTGCAGGAGGCCCAGAGAGGTGGAGACAAACAAAATGAATCCTGCGTCCGCAGGAGTCCCAGAGAGGTGGCGACAAACAAAATGAATCCTGCGTCCGCAGAACAATGCATTTGGGCATATTTGAGGAAGTTCTGCCATGCTCATCTTTGCAACTTAATCCCTCAAATGTACAGTACCAAAACATGACGTGAACTTGTCGATTCTGTTTTGCCCAGTTATGAAATCAAGCATTGTCGCAACTGCATTGTAAAATAAGCTCTTGTATAAGCAGATACCTTAGGCGATGGTGGAGATTCGATTGTATTTCAAGTACAGTTCTTCCAGGTTTTTCATGCAACAGAACTGGCTATGATGTATGCAAAAAATATTATTGTAAATCAATGAGAAGACTTTTAACCACAAGATAGGACTAGGTTGAGTTTTACAAAGGGGATGTGAATCTAGTATTGTCCAAAGAAAAGTTCTGAACAGACAAACTCTGGAGATTCCTCAAGACATGGATAAAGCTCAGATCAATAAATATTTGTTGAAAACTTTTGAATAGCAGATATTGAGAAGTTGATATGGTCTGTAGAATTCAATCTTAGTGCATAGTGCTTCACAGCATGGAAAAAGTCAAGAAAGCATGCATGACGATTGTGTTCTGGCCTTGGGCTTACACACTGAAGGAAGGACCAATACAAACACAGACAGTGGTCACCTGATTTTAGTGGGCTCCTGATTGAAAACGCACCAGATGTGCCCCTCAAATTAGACCCCACACCAACACAAGCACACACAGACACACAGGCATGCACACACCCACACACACACACCACAGGAGGCTGCTGAGGGGAGGACGGCTCATAATAATGTCTGGAATGGAGTGAATGGAATGGAATTAAACACATGGAAACCATGTGTTTGATGTGTTCGATACCATTCCATTGCAATTTATTAAAAAACATTTTTTTACCAGAAAGGTAAGTTCCAGACCTTTCTAAAACTATGCAACATTACCAGTAATGAATTGTTTATGGCCATCTCAGTGAGAGGAGGTTTCTGTTGTGTGTGTATGTGGAGTGCCTCACAGTAATGATGGCTGCACTTTTATTGAACAGAGTATTTAATAACAAGCTGAATGTGGAACAGTGGCACATGCATGCCCCCCTACATACCTAAGCTACAGTAAGCTACCCAGATCCAAGGTTTGATGTTTCTTATTATTTGACAAAACAGTTTACAATTTACTATGAGCCCGTCCTTCCCAATTAAGGTGCCACCAGCCGTCTGTGATACACATACACACCCACACACCCCCACACACACACACACACATACACACCCACACATACACACACACACACACACACACACACACACACACACACACACACACACACACACACACACTCTCACACATAATTGAGGGATGTCATGGATTACTTGGAGACCAAACATCAGGGCTGGTGTGAGAGTGTTGCTACTTAACTACAGTGAAGAGCAGTGAGCAGCTTGTTGAGTGGTGAAGCTGCTCTAATCATTGGGGTCATAACGCCCTCTAATACAGCTAATGATATGGAGAGCAAGCCGAGCAACAGATGTCCTGCCTGGCCTATACACACACACACATATATGCATGCGCGCGCACGCACGCACGCACACACACACTCCTCGACTAACCTGTACCCCTGCACATTGACTCGGTACCGGTACCCCCTGTATATAGCCTCGTTATTGTTATTTTATTGTGTTACTTTTTATTATTTTTTACTTTAGTTTATTTGTAAAATATTTTTATTAACTCTTTCTTGAACTGCATTGTTGGTTAAGGGCTTGTAAGTAAGCATTTCACAGTAAGGTCTACACCTGTTGTATTCGGCGCATGTGACCAATACATTTTGATTTGATTTGACACACGCACACACATGAACACACATAAACACACACCCAACATAAATATTAGCCAAAACAAAGCCACAAGGCCACACCATGTACGTAAGCTTCGGTTAGAGATATCATGCATAGACAGAAGCATAAAGCCAGGACAGAAAAAGGATGTTTCATTTTTCCTATCTTATTTTTCTCTCTAACTCTGTGTTCCCTCTCTGTGAGCTACAGTGAGCTCCAAAAGTATTGGGACAGTGACACATTTGTTGTTGTTTTGGCTCTGTACTCCAGCACTTTGGATTTAAAATGATAAAATGACTACGAGTTTAAGGTGCAGACTGTCAGCTTTAATTTGAGGGTGATTTCATCCATATCGGGTGAACCATTTAGAAATTACAGCACTTTTTACACATAGGGGGAGCAAAAGTATTGGGACAAATTCACTTCTGTGTATTAAAGTAATAAAACGTTTTTGGTCCCATATTCATAGTACGCAATGACTACATCAAGCATGTGACTGTACACATTTGTTGGATGCATTTGCTGTTTGTTTTCGTTGTGTTTCAGATTATTTTGTGCCCAATAGAAAAGAACGGTAAATAATGTATTGTGTTATTTTGTTGTAAATAAGAATAGAATATGTTTCTAAACACTTCTACATTCATGTGGATGCTACCATGATTACGGATGATCCTGAATGAATCGTGAATAATGATGAGTGAGAAAGTTACAGACGCACAAATATCATACCCCCAAGACATACAAACCTCTCACCATTACAATAACAGGGGAGGTTAGCATTTTTTTGGGGGGGGGTATGATATTTGTGCTTCTGTAACTTTCTCACTCATCATTATTCACGATTCATTCAGTATTATCCGTAATCATGGTAGCATCCACATGAATGTAGAAGTATTTAGAAACATATTCTATTCTTATTTACAATAAAAGTAATATATTATTTACCATTCATTTCTATTGGGCACAAAATAATCTGAAACACAAGCAAAACAAACAGCAAATCCATCCATCAAATTTGTAGAGTCACAAGCTTGATGTAGTCATTGCGCGCTATGAATATGGGACCAAATACTTAACATTTTACTACTTTAATACACATACAGTGGGGATAACAAGTATTTGATACACTGCCGATTTTGCAGGTTTTCCTACTTACAAAGCATGTAGAGGTCTGTAATTTTTATCATAGGTACACTTCAACTGTGAGAGACGGAATCTAAAACAAAAATCCAGAAAATCACATCGTATGATTTTTAAGTAATTAATTTACATTTTATTGCATGACATTATTTGATACATCAGAAAAGCAGAACTTAATATTTGGTACAGAAACCTTTGTTTGCAGTTACAGAGATCATACGTTTCCTGTAGGTCTTGACCAGGTTTGCACACACTGCAGCAGGGATTTTGGCCCACTCCTCCATACAGACCTTCTCCAGATCCTTCAGGTTTCAGGGCTGTCGCTGGGCAATATGGACATTCAGCTCCCTCCAAAGATTTTCTATTGGGTTCAGGTCTGGAGACTGGCTAGGCCACTCCAGGACCTTGAGATGCTTCTTATGGAGCCACTCCTTAGTTGCCCTGGCTGTGTGTTTCGGGTCGTTGTCATGCTGGAAGACCCTGCCACGACCCATCTTCAATGCTCTTACTGAGGGAAGGAGGTTGTTGGCCAAGATCTCGCGATACATGGCCCCATCCATCCTCCCCTCAATACGGTGCAGTCGTCCTGTCCCCTTTGCAGAAAAGCATCCCCAAATAATGATGTTTCCTCCTCCATGCTTCACGGTTGTGATGGTGTTCTTGGGGTTGTACTCATCCTTCTTCTTCCTCCAAACACGGTGAGTGGAGTTTAGAACAAAAAGCTCTATTTTTGTCTCATCAGACCACATGACCTTCTCCCATTCCTCCTCTGGATCATCCAGATGGTCATTGGCAAACTTCAGACAGGCCTAGACATGTGCTGGCTTGAGCAGGGGGACCTTGCGTGCGCTGCAGGATTTTAATCCATGACGGCGTAGTGTGTTCCTAATGGTTTTCTTTGAGACTGTGGTCCCAGCTCTCTTCAGGTCATTGACCAGGTCCTGTCATGTAGTTCTGGGCTGATCCCTCACCTTCCTCATGATCATTGATGCCTCACGAGGTGAGATCTTGCATGGAGCCCCAGACCGAGGGTGATTGACCGTCATCTTGAACTTCTTCCATTTTCTAATAATTGCGCCAACAGTTGTTGTCTTCTCACCAAGCTGCTTGCCTATTGTCCTGTAGCCCATCCCAGCCTTGTGCAGGTCTACAATTTTATCCCTGATGTCCTTACACAGCTCTCTGGTCTTGGCCATTGTGTAGAGGTTGGAGTCTGTTTGATTGCGTGTGTGGACAGGTGTCTTTTATACAGGTAACGAGTTCAAACAGGTGCAGTTAATACAGGTAATGAGTGGAGAACAGGAGGGCTTCTTAAAGAAAAACGAACAAGTCTGAGAGCCGGAATTCTTACTGGTTGGTAGGTGATCAAATACTTATGTCATGCAATAAAATGCAAATGAATTACTTAAAAATCATAAAATGTGATTTTCTGGATTTTTATTTTAGATTCCGTCTCTCACAGTTCAAGTGTATTATGATAAACCTCTACATGCTTTGTAAGTAGGAAAACCTGCAAAATCGGCAGTGTATCAAATACTTGTTCTCCCCACTGTAAGTGAATTTCTGGTCTCCTAAAATGGGGGGACTATATGCAAAAAGTGCTGTAATTTCTAAACGGTTCACCCGATATGGATAAAATACCCTCAAATTAAAGCTGAAAGTCTGCACTTTAACCTCGTATTCATTGTATAATTTCCTCCAAAGTGCTGGAGTACAGAGCCAAAACAACAAAAAATGTGTCACTGTCCCAATACTTTCGGAGCTCACTGTATTCCCCTCAGAAATCTGTGAGAGTGGAAGCCACCCTGTTAAAGTGGAAATGGTTTCCCATGAGAAACTATGGTACAAGCCTGCCCTCAACTGTTCATTTGAGAGACTACACCCAATGCTGGCTCAAAGATAATGTGCAATATCAACACAAAAGGTCTCTAAAGAGAGATAATTATGCTATATGTTGACATCAAATTAATCATGTTATAGCTTTAATACAATTCAAAATGACATTGTCTGAGAACCAAAAGCGGAGGTGACAGAGGTCAGCGACAAACAAAATGAATCCTGCGTCCGCAGAACAATGCATTTGGGCGTATTTGAGGAAGTTCTGCCATGCTCATCTTTGCAACTTAATCCCTCAAATGTACAGTACCAAAACATGACGTGAACTTGTCGATTCTGTTTTGCCCAGTTATGAAATCAAGCATTGTCGCAACTGCATTGTAAAATAAGCTCTTGTATAAGCAGATACCTTAGGCGATGGTGGAGATTCGATTGTATTTCAAGTACAGTTCTTCCATGTTTTTCATGCAACAGAACTGGCTATGATGTATGCAAAAAATATTATTGTAAATCAATGAGAAGACTTTTAACCACAAGATAGGACTAGGTTGAGTTTTACAAAGGGGATGTGAATCTAGTATTGTCCAAAGAAAAGTTCTGAACAGACAAACTCTGGAGATTCCTCAAGACATGGATAAAGCTCAGATCAATAAATATTTGTTGAAAACTTTTGAATAGCAGACATTGAGAAGTTGATATGGTCTGTAGTCAAGGAAACATAAGAAGTTGAGAGTTGATAGAGTCTGTGTGAAATTGTCTAAGTTACCATGCTCCTGACAGAATTCAAATCATTCCACTTTGCTGTCACCCGACTGCAGTCATTGCATCTGCAGTACATCATTTAGAGGCATGCTAAGAGATTAAATGTTTTTAAAACCTTCACAACACACTTCTACCTATAATAATAATAATATAATATGACATTTAGCAGACGCTTTTATCCAAAGCGACTTACAGTCATGTGTGCATACATTTTTTGTGTATGGGTGGTCCCGGGGATCGAACCCACTACCCTGGCGTTACAAGCGCCGTGCTCTACCAATTGAGCTACAGAGGACCATGGTCTTCAGATGACGGAAAGTCAAGCCAATATCTTGAAGACTATAGAAACTTGGGATCTCATAAATAGATCCATTATAGGTGGTGCAGTTTGGGATACTCAGAGTGGCAATGTTGCCTGACAGATGCAGGGATGTCAGTGTAAGATGTGTTATTTATTAATCTACATAAAACCTCTGACAAGCTGTTTATGGCTACCGTAAGAGTGGTCAACTGTTTCATCCAAGCAAATGCATCTACAGCTATTGCAGAGAACGAACATTGTATTCTTAACTGTTTAAGAGTATGTAAATATACATATTTGAGTAAATGGATAAGTTCAAAGAGAAAGTAAGGCTCAGTGTCTGACGTTCCAAAACCATTCTGAAACACCTGGAAGAATCTCTGCCGGTTGACCTGCGATGCTGAGCTCAACGAGTTTGTGAAATCTGGAAAAATTGTTGGGATGCAGAATGGATTATTTTCTCATCTCGACACACAGGGTCTGGATGAAATTGGGGGAACATGGCGAGGTGAAGTGTCACATTGTCGACATCCCTGTACCTCACTGTAAGGTTACCACCATAACAATAACTGTCAACTGTCCCTTCTCCATTAGTCATTACACATTTCTCACTATAATAATAATAAGTCCAACCTGAAACACTGATGATCCAAAGAGCCACAAGTGAGTGATACTGATGAGCCTCATCCTTCCAGAGGACTACAAATATCCGTCTTATCCAGTTAGATTGGTAATTGTGTGCTAAATCTAACAGACCCAATCATAACGGAACTGCTTTTTGGACTGCCCGACGGTATAGATGCAGATTTGCCTAAAATGAAGCTACAGACACTGCTACTGGAAATGCAGCTCAATGTGACAGCTGAGACAGTAGACAGAGACTATAATTGTCCCAGTATCAATGTTGACAGGAAACTTGACCTCACACTTGCCCTTCCAACACACACAAGCACTCACACACACACACTCACACAAGCAGACACACGCACACATGCACAAGCATACACACACACACACACACACTGTGGAGAATGGGTAACTGACTGTCCTTACCCAGAGGAAGGGCACAGGAAGTTTTATTTTAGATTAATCTGTTCTTCTAATTCTTATTTTACAGAAGCATCTTTGACTATGCTTGTGTCAAATATATTGTGTGTTTTTGTTCTACCTTGTTATTGTTTTGTATTACATTGTTCTTGATTACCGCATCGTTGGGTTAGAGCTTGCAAGAAAGGTATTTCACTGTACTTGTGCATGTGGCAATAAAACTTGAAACTTGAATGAAAATGTGACTGTTAAAAGATACCCGAGAAAGAAACAGCAGTTATAGTTTTCCTGTGAATCTGTTTTTTAAAGGTGAACAGAATTTCATTTCACAGAAATACTGTATAAAGAGCAGAATAAATGTACTGGTGCCTTGTCAACCATTTTGGTGTGTGTCTTTAGCGCTCACTTGATAAGGAGAAAACGTCCCTTGACTGACTTGAACTGACCTAACATGGCCAGATGGTGGTGCTGTGGACTCATGCATGGATTGGACTCGGCTCTGAGGAAATCAAAATCATATCATTCACTACTGTGCATCTTAAACTTTATTGTGAATAATGAAGTTACATTAAAAATAATGTACTTACTGTGTCTGAGTGGATTACAGAAGTACAGTAGGTTTACAATCTTATCTTTAATCAAAACATTGAATGATTTGCTGTCAACTCTGTAAATTGTTCAATATTCCATCAATATTCTTTCATCGAGGGTTATAGTATTTCAGTTAAACATGAACAAAAAACAGTATGAAACTAGATATCATTTACATTAGGCAATTACATGCATTTCTCTTTATACATCCAGAATGATGAATCTACTGAATTAAAAAGTGTTGTAAATTGATACAAAGGTCAGATTTGCGGAGTGCATCTCTTCAAAATACCACGGTCCAGACAAGAACGATATTGATAAAGTCTTAGCATTTCTGAAATAAAGTCAAAGTAGTTATACTGAACAATACTGCATTAAAATACAGGACAGATGTTTTGCCTCTAGAATATCAATAACATGATGTTGGACTACCCTGTACAACAGAAACACATAAACAACATTTCAACATTTCAACAAACCCTTCCATAGAGTGTTATAAATGATGGAGATCCATATTGATATTATCTTGCTTCAATGCACATTTGAATTGTATAAACAGCTCAAAGTTTCTAGTTCTGCTACTTTACAATCTCTTGATTTTCTACATCACTTGACACCATTGTACATTTGGCCTCAACAGGACAACCATTTAAAAGTAATGCAAACTATAAAGCTCCAGATTATACATTTCATTAAAAATATATACACCACATACATTCTTAGTAATATTGCACAAAATGACTCCAATGGATCATGAATGATGGCTCCAAACGAGGAATTCCAACGAGGAGAGAGCGAAGGGTTAAAAATTGGGTACAGTTTAGATACATTCACAGCTACAAGAAGAGGCGGGTCAGGAGGGATCTGCAGTTGGGTGGGGGACTTGGATGAGGACACAAAATATCACCAGGAAGAGAAATCATCCGAGAAAGTGTAAAATGACACAGAGTTACTCTAACTTGAAATAATCCACCGTTAACCTTAATATTGTTGGTGTACTTTGACAGGTTGCTGTTTGCTGTCTAATTTGGTGGTCTTTCCTGAATGAGTGTGATAGACTAATAGACTGTGATTCTTACTGTACCTATGCACTGAAACTGTCATCCTTTTATCATACAGTAGGGGGCAGAAGATAATGCATAATGAATCCACTCGTACACCATACACACATACATGCACAACCACCACTGTTAAAACGTAAATGTATCACACACACACACATATGGTGCACTTGCACCAACATGCATGAGGAAAAGAAACACACATGTTATACACCGGTAGACAGACACACACACAGACACACACACCAGACACACACACACAGACACCAGACAGACACACACCACACAGACACACACACACCAGACACACCAGACACACAGACACCAGACAGACAAACACCAGACACACACACACACACACACACCAGACACCAGACAGACACACACCAGACACACACAAACACCAGACACACACAGACACCAGACAGACAGACACTAGACAGACACACACCAGACAGAGAGAGAACAGGTTTATGAGCGGCAGCAGCTAGCACTCTTCATCTCATTGTTGACATAATCTTGTAGCTGAAACTTTGGTTCATCAGGCTCCTTCATCGACCTGTGCTTCAGCTCTCTGAGAGAAACGAAAGGTAGAGAAAGCAATGAAGATTGAGGAAAATGACAGGGAGATTCAATCTCATATAGCATATTTACTGCGTAGGCTATCTTGATTCTGTGTTTCCTTCGTAATCACATGTATGACAAAACAAAAGGCATTGATTGACATGTCATCTCTAGAGAACTCAGCAGTGGTAAACATCCTACTCACTTGGCCACAGCAGTGAATGCCAGCTCCACGTTCAGGCCAGATTTTGCACTGGTCTCCATGAAGGGCACACCAAACTCCTGCACAGGGTAGAGTGAGAGTCCACCAAGTTTTAGTGTATTAGGTACCTGGTGTGTCTGTGTGTGTGTGTGTGTGTGTGTGCGTGCGTGGGTGTGAAAAGCCGATAAATTAAACTGTTGCTGACCGAGATAAAAAAAATCACATTGCATTGGTGGAAATACTAATCGATGTAAATGCATTTGACCGCCATGCTTATCGTTCTATGGGTTAATTTGCATAATTTAGTGGAATTAAATTGACCTGTGTATTTTCGTTAGTCATGTATCTTATTTATCCAACACTACCAACCATCACATGCACACAGCATACAGAGCCTATTTTGAGCTGAATTTATCCTGCAACTCCTTAGCTGGTTGCTGCTGGAGCAAAACATGTGCCTTTATAAGCCCATTCATTGCACAATAATTATAAATGCAATTGTGTTTTAATACATTATAATTCGCAATGGATGTTAAAAAAACACTCCTACATTTCCGCGCATCAGGCCAGGTACTTCTATGAGTGCTCAGATACATGCTCATCTCTCTACATGGAGCACTCCAAACAAAAGACAGTGAAAGAAATTGACAAATCTCGTAAATTATGGTTATGAAATAAACCAAAACTTGTTTCTCACAAGTGCAGCAGGTTGTGAACTCTGCAAACAATGTTTCCACTCTGAGCCTGCTTGGCAGGGTTGGTCCTACAAAGCCAAAGCCCCCTGATGGGTGAGGATAATTTACAAGAAATTTCTCAAAGCTGCTAATGAGAACCTTGACGACCTTGTACCTAGCCGGTGGGGATTCCAGTGGGGTGCCCCCACCCAGGTAGTGGCAGTGCTGGTAACACTAGCTAGCTGCAGTAACACATGGGGAGGGGGTCACACTTGGAAAATCAGAGAGGGGGCAAATTATTGTGGCCCTAGTGGCACAAAATAATCAAAGGTCTGATTGCACTGAGATCCTTGGGAAAATGGTCACAATGGGGGCCAGCGTGTGTGTGTTTCAGGGGATACAGGGGGTGTATCTGATCTCCATCATCTTCTTTTTTGCATGCCTTCTCAAACAGCTGCAACTGTATATGCACTCACACATCAAGTCCTTTCTTGAGTTGGGCTCTGGGATGGAACAACTCTTGAAAATCTGAGCTTGTGGTTGTTTGTGGGGGAAAGGGGTCGAGTGTGTATGAGTGTGTGTGTGTGTGTGTGTGTGTGTGTGTGTGTGTGTGTGTGTGTGTGTGTGTGTGTGTGTGTATCCCACATCTGTTGCTATGGGGTAATGATGTTAGGGACAAAATAGGATGAATCACAATAATTGTTTGCTAAAATAATAATTGCTTGGCAAAAATGTAATTTTTGTAATGGCAATCCTGGTTATAGGTAACAATCCATCACATGAACTGCCTACATTATTACACATATTATTCATTAATTGTGGAAATTAAGATAAGCAAGATGTTTTAATATGTGTAAATATTTGTTAATAACTATATATAATACAAATCGAGGTGAGGGCGTTGGAAATGCTTTTGGTGGTTGATCTGCTTCTGTTCTGTGGGTGGCACTGTGTGCTCTTTTCGAAGGATGGATAACGGTCTCTTGGGGGCCCTGGTATCCGGGGGGACTGGGGTGGTCTGTCGGTTATTGGGATGACAACCCAACTTGGGATGGGGGGGTGAGTTAAGCGGTTGGAATAGTGGAGAACAATTGGAGGTTTACTTAGTAGCGATGCAAATATCATGGTACAGCTATATGGACACTCAATCACTATGGTACTTTTTAATGGTAAGTTGAAGTTGGAAGTTTACATACACCTTAGCCAAATACATTTAAACTCAGTTTTTCACAATTCCTGACATTTAATCCTAGTAAAAATTCCCTGTCTTAGGTCATTTAGGATCACCACTTTATTTTAAGAATATGAGATGTCAGAATAATAGTAGAGAGAATTATTTCTTTCAGCTTTTATTTCTTTCATCTCATTCCCAGTGGGTCAGAAGTTGACATAGCATTGACTTTAAATTGTTTAACTTGGGTCAAACATTTTGGGTAGCCTTCCACAAGCTTCCCACAAT